CCCCAAAACCCCAAAACCCCAAAACCCCAAAACCCCAAAACCCCTATTTCAGCAATCTTGTAGAAATAAATAATAATCTTATTAATTTTGTATAATGAGAAATAAAATGATGCTCCTAGTAGCTTTGATGACACTCGTATGAGTTGTAGTATCAAAGAAATGCGATTTTCAATGCTTAGCAGCCTGTGAGATGATCGGAGGCTCTTATGAGTAAGTATTAGCTTAATCCGCTATATAATATAGCTTAGGTTTCTTATGATATTCACCCATATCTTAATCCTATTAATGTCTAATCTGTGATTTAGATGTTTCAAATCATGCCACTGTGGAGTCAGAAAGAGTCCTACTTTTAAAGACATTCTTAAGCAAAACGCTTGCTATGCAAGTTGCAATGCAGAATGCCTGCAAGAATTTGATCCTATGAAAGCAGATGAATGCTTCTCAGGATGTAGCTGCAAATGCAATCAAGTTTGTCTTGAGAGCTGTGAGGATATTGACAACCAATTCGCATGCAGGCTCTCTTGTGGATGTACTCCTACTGAAGAAGACATTATTCATAGAGAGGATTCACCTGAAGAAAAGAGTAAAGATACACCTGTAGTGAAGGAAGTTACAGAGTCTCATACTGTCACTAATGCAGAGCCTAAGATATCTGTTAAGCCTGTCTGCACTTCAGACTGTATAAACAACTGCCTCTCTTCTGCTGTTGGCAAGGACGACACTGTTCTATGCTTCACCAACTGTGGGTGCATGCCTGCATTCAACAACATTGAGCTATCAATGGCTTCTCCAGCTTTAGCCGATAGCTCATCCTCAAGCACTCTTCTTTACTTGATGTTCATTCTCTTCCTTGTAGGTATAGTTGTGACTGCAACTTATCTGCTGTGGGATAGAGACACAAAGAAGAGATCTAAGAGGTATGATGAGGAGTCATCTACAACTATGTTGTACCAGACTCTCGAGTAAGTATTGGGTAAGATACTGGTTTCAATAGTCCTTTATTACGACGGGGTTTTGGGGTTTTGGGGTTTTGGGGTTTTGGGGTTTTGGGG